TAGCAACACGGGCATCGCTACTAGGAACAAGAAGCTACTAGCAACACAGGCATCGCTACTAGGAACAAGAAGCTACTAGTAATTCTCATTAAAGAAACGGTTTTCACTCGACTCTCAACTCATGTTCCTCACTTCGAGGAAGCCCAGCTCACCGTGCCCAGAGTGCCCCAATATATATATATATATATGTATATATCTATATATACACATTGCAGCCTTGCTTGTTATTTTTCATCAACCGGTTTGTTGCTAAAACGAACAATAAAGAATTTTTCAGTTTTGAAAACGATGCTATGCAAAGAACAAAACCGAGGACAAAGGTGCCCGGGCCTGTGCCTGCCTCACAGACTCCTGCGTGATTTCTTCGGCACCCCGAAGAAAGGTCTCCTGCCATGCCGCAGGCAGCGATGCAGGCAGTGCACATTGAGATGTCTTGCAGCTATTGCGAGAGCGCATCTATGTCCAGCTAGAATTCAACATGTCTAGACTGAGAGAGAACTACATGTACTCTACTACACACAGCAAGAACTATCGATTGCAGCTCTCTCAGGCAAGTTCCTGGTTCAGGATTTGCGATGAATTTGTTCTATGAACAGCACTTTCGACACAACAGTGCTTTATCTGGTTGGAGGAAATCACTCTTGGGTTGGAGCCATTGCTAGCACGGTGGAGGCCATCCCTAGTGGGTTGGAGGCAATCGCTAGTAGGTTGGAGGCCATTGCTATTATATAGGTTGGAGGCCGTCGCTAGTAGGTCGGAGGCCATCGCTATTAGAATGGAGGTCATCGCCAGAAGGTTGGAGGCCATCGCTAATAGGTTGGAGGCCATCCCTATTAGGTGGCTATCGCCATTAGGTTGGAGGCCATAGCTAGTAGGTTGGAGACCATCGCTATTAGGTTGGAGGCTATCGCTACTAGTAATTAGGTTTGAGGCCATCATAGGCCATCGCTAGTAGGTTGGAGGTCATCCCTTCTAGGGAGGCCAATGCTGTTGGGTTGGAGGCCATCGCTAGTAGGTTGGAGGCCATCACTAGTAGGGTGGGGGCCATTGCTATTAGGGTGGAGGCCATCTCTCTCTCTCTCTCTCTTTGTTGAAGTTCATCATAATTCGTCAAGGTCAAAAGCTTTGATTGTCGGTGCTGCAGAAGGTTCAAGCAGGCCAGGAAGTCCCGGCGGGAAGCCTGGGAAGTCATGAAGCAGGTGAACCAATCGGTGAAGGGCACTTGAAGCCTTAATGAGCAGCCTATGTAAGGGTCTATCACACGGTTTAGTTCCCTTTTTCCTTTGTTTTACTCTGTTTTTTCCGCTCAAAAGATGATCGCTCTTCTTCGGCTCCAAGCCTTCGCAGGATTTGGCTTGGCGAGCACCGTGGACAACCTCTAGAATGCTTTCGGGCATAGACCGTTCTTCGGCCACCGTTCTTCTTAGTAGTAACAAGAAGCTACTAGGAACAAGTGCCACGCTACTAGTAACAAGTGCCTTACTAGTAGTAACAAGAAGCTATTAGAATTAAATTAGAATTAGTAAGAATGCTCCGTTCGTAGCGATGCCAGGAGCCCCTAGTATCGCCCTTGCTCCTAGTAGTAAGGCCAGGAGCCCCTAGTAGCGTCCGATCGCTCCTAGCATTTAAGGTCTTGACCGTTCTTCGGCAGTAGCCAAGAGGGCCTCTTCCTTCGAACGTTCTCGACATACACGAAAATTGAAAGACGGCTTAATCTCACAAGCTGCTGGAAACCAAGCCTTCACGAGCGCAAAGCGAAGCTCCTGGAAGGGCTGACAAAAATGTGCTCTTGGAACTATTCTTGATACCTACCAAGTCTCTTTATCCCAAAGTTCTGACAAGACTACGGCATAGCGGCATAACTGTAACAAGGTCGGGATCTTACATACGCATCAGAGTCAGGTGGACAGCTTATGTCAAATGAATTTGGCGATCTCCTCAGCTGGCTGGAGGTCCTAGACACGCAAGAATGAGGATAAGAAAAAGAGAAGAAAACTTTGTGGCGAAAGAAAGAATAGCTTTTGTACCAAAAGAATAGAAAAGAAGAACAGGAAAGCCGCTAATTTCAGGATCGGCTCTAGCGATTTAGAGCTAGCCTTCACGCGTTAGAGCTGTTTAGCCCTATCTTGTGCCAAGTCACCAGGTTCGCCTCCATGTCAGCGCACCTCCAAAGCTCGACTCAAACTAGGGATGGCCTCCAACCTAGTAGCTTCTTGTTCCTAGTAGCGATGCCAGGAGCCCCTAGTAGCGATGCCCTTGCTCCTAGTAGCCTCTTTTTTCTGCAGGTGAAACGATTCCCAGGAAACTTTGGTCGTTAGAAAGCTTTGCCAAGAAGCTTCAAAGACCTAAAAAGCATCATTCTTACTGCAGGTGAAAGGATTCCCAGTTTTATCTTCTTAGTTGTTTGCATTATTTTTTTGTTCTCTTGATGTTTGGAGGGGTTGGGGCAGGCTGTGAAGAGGTGAATAGCATACAGGAGGTAGTAGCTTAAGTGACCAGTAAGCCCAGATATATAGCTACCGGATGATCGTAACTCTTCGAAACTCTTTGGCGAAACTCTTAACTTTTGGACCTTTGGACAGTCCTCTACTAGGAGCAAGGACACTACTGGCATCGCTACTACGGGCTCCTGGCATCGCTACTAGGAGCATTCTTATCCCAGGAAGCGACGCTTTAAGCTGCTTTAAGCCACTTCGTTTCAAAGGCGACGAAGTTCTCGGGGCTAGCCAAGGCACAAGGCTTGTAGCTTCCGGGCGACCTGCCGGTTGCCCAAGGCTGAAATAGACCAATCAAAACTCGTCCTCTCTTTTCTATCTTTTTCAGAAATACATTTCAAAACCAGTTCTGAACAATCAAATGATCATCTCACCCAAAGACTAAATCAGCCATGACGAGGTAAGTACATTAGGAGGCTTGACATGCCGATATGCCTCCGTCTCCTCCTCCAGCTCCTGGTGGTATGCATCCATTTGCTTCCTCTCTACCTCAAATGCGGATGCACCCAGAGTTGAGATTCGCAGTCAAAGTATTATGTTGATGTTTTTCTTCCCTGTGTTCTTAATATTTTGAGCCCGCCCTTACATAAATACATACAGTAAGTAGGCACGATAGCTCACGCTTCTTCAAGGCCGCCCTCAGGGGGGAGCTTCTTTGAAGAAGCGCTCGCACTCATGATTTGGTTCCTAGTAGCGTCCTTGCTCCTAGTAGTAAGGCCAGGAGCCCCTATTAGTAGCGTCTTTGCTCCTAGCAGCGATGCCAGGAGCCCCTAGTAGCTTCTAGCCCCTAATGATTTGGTTCGTCCGTAGATTTTTAGGGAAACTTGAGTTTACGTCGACTTTGTTGACTTTGTTGAGCTGCTCATTGAGCTCTCTAATCTAGCTTCAATGCAGTGCTCGGGCAGCGGCCTCCAATTCTTGCAAGGCCAAACTGATCTGCCCAGGTTCAGGTTCAGCACATGCATTGATTTGACTTGCTATGAGCTGTCAAATGCAAGGTAAACCTTCTGGGCTCTGTCGGCACGCTCCACGTCCTGCTTGGACACCTCGAAACAAAATGTAAGGACCAAAGAAGATCTACCATCTACCCTACACATTTACAGATCTTACAAGTAAATCAAACCTACCCTTTACAGATCCCACCGCAGGTCTTTGACGTCACTACTTGATCATTCCTACAGGCTGAACCGGAAATCACGTCTACACCGAAAAAGAAGTGCTCCGACGCTACGAACGGGGCTCCTGGCCGTACTAGGAGCAAAGGGCATCGCTACTAGGAGCAAAGGGCGCTACTAGGGGCTCCTGGCCTTACTACTAGGAACAAGAAGCTACTAGGAGCAAAGGGCATCGCTTGTACGAACAAGAAGGTGCGAACTGGGCTCCTGGCATCGCTACGAACGGAACAAGAGGACGCTACTCGAATGCTACTCTTTGTTGACCCTGCCAGGCCTAGCTCTGAGCCTTCGTTAATTAGCAAACATTAATTCTGATTCGTATTTGATTCAAAATTCGTACTTTTTTCTAATAATATTCATGTAATTATAAATGTTATTTAATTCTAATTCTGATTTTGTTTTTTTAGCAAACATTGTTACTAGTATGGCCAGGAGCCCCGTTCGTAGCGTCTGATCACTTCTAGCAGCGATGCCAGGAGCCCCTAGTAGCGATGCCCTTTGCTCCTAGTAGCGTCCTCTTGTTCCTAGTACTGAGCCTTCCTCTCGTTGTGTCTAGAAACAGATTTGCAGCTTGCAGCTGCCGCTTTGCCTCATTGGCAAACACAGCTCTCTGCAGCTGCAGCGCATGCGTCGCCTACAGGATGCAGGATTTCGCATGATGCCTCATATATCGTCTGTGACACAACCTGCACACTGTGCTCTGCTGTGCTGTTGGAGTTGACTACTGCTAGAGCCCTCCCTCACGACCGAAAGCTTAACAACCCCCCCGCCCAGAACTCGTTGAGCTTCGCTCTGCTTTGCTTCATTTCAGTCCGGAGTTTCACATGCGCCATTGCGCTTCTCCCGAAGGAAAGTACAAAGTCTTGAGAGTATGTGGCAGAGAGGAAATGTTTGTAACCTGAAACAAGAAGCTACTAGGAACAAAGGGCATCGCTACTAGAAGCAAGGACACTATTAGGGGCTCCTGGCAGTTCTACTAGGAACAATAAACCTTCTATTTATTTTTTTTCGATTGTCGCTTCGATTGTCGCCTCCGCAAGTTCAGAGTCAAGCTGCTGGAGCTCCAAGCGCAGCGCCTGCGGTTCAAAGCGATCGCAGAGTCGATTATTGTGTTTTTTCCACTTCTTCCTTGTTCTTCTATGTCTTCTACACCTCTTCACTTGTTGAAACAAAACGAGAAAAGCACGCGCCCGGACTTTTCCTGGACTCGGGCCACTGCAGTTCGGTATGGACATGTTAGTCCTGCAAACTTCTTACACTCCACCTTAAAGGAGCGGTGAAGTGAGTCCGCTGCTTTACCGACCGTGTTGCAGGTAGAGCTGGGCATAGTGCTCGAAGTTGTCATCCCAGTCTCCCATAATCACGATCTTGCAGAACAGGCCATAATCGTGCTTCTCATCCATGGACCACTGGACGATGTGGTCGAAGCACATGTGCGTGTAGGTCCGGCTGTAGATCGAAGCCAGACGAATGCGAATGAACTCCTTCAGCTGGTTCGTGCTGAAAAATCCAGCTTCAAACACGCGTTGAGCCCTGGGTTCTTCTTCTCGCTTCATGTACTTGAACAGGGTCTCGAAGTCCCACCAATCGCCATCAACCGGCGGTGGTTCAAAGGCCGACCTGTTGTTTGGATCCTCAGCTGCCTCATTGTAGTTCTCCACCGGCTGAGGTTCATCCACGTCCATGTGGCTAGGTGGTGCAGCATCATTCACGAAGCTTGGGTCATCTCGCTCAGAGGCTGTTGGTTTGTAGTATCGATGATACCCACTGACCGGGTTGCCCATGAAGTATTCTTCACCGCTGAAAGCCTCCTCTTCAGCTTGTAGTACCCTGTAGTCTGCTAGGGTGCCGGTCATTGGATCCCAGTCCGTGATGATGTGTCCAGCTGTTCGCTGTTGGAGTTCTGTCTCTCCACCTCCATCTGACATCTCCTCATCGGGCTCGCTCTCATCTGCATCCTCTGCTACTGGACTTGGTTCTTCAGGTTGACTCCTCTCAACGGATGCTGTCATCTCCTCTTCTGGCCTTTCATTCTCTGGAACTTCACCTTCTTGGCGTTGCAAAGGTGCCGGCAAGTTACGTCCTCTCCTTACCAAGTTCCACTCTCCTCGATTGGCCGCCAGCCTGGCTTTCATGATCATCCCAATCTCAGCAAACTCATCCTGCTGCCTCTGGAACTCCATGGTCTCCTCCTGCCTCAAAAATCGAAGGAGGGTCCTCAGATATACCGACCACTTCACCCGGTATCGGTAGCCACAGTAGACACCGTAGAGGAACACGAAGACCGTGTAGATGGTCAGCATCTTGATGATGAACCACCAGCTGTAGGGCTCTTCTGGTGTCTTTCCATCTGTGATCTCCTCAACTCGTTCTCCTCCAACCTTCTGCTGCAATAAGAGCAAGGTGACTGCCCTCACCAAAGCTGTCGGGATCTTCAGTCCCCAACTACTCTTCTCCTCCACCACTGTCTGGATCATCTGCTTCTTGACCTCCTTCATCTGCTTCGCTAGCATCTTCTTCTCCAGCTCCTGGTGGAAGGTGTCTTCACCCACTGTGGAAAAGGTCTCATCCTTGCCTTCAGCATTCATCTCCATGATCCCAATGAGGTACATCAGGAACTCCCGACGTTGCCTCGTGAGGCGTTTGGTGCCAATGTCTGACACGTTGAGGAGAGTTGGAATTCCTTCCATGACCATCGTGTCCTTCTTGATCTCCAGCTGCATCCAGAGATACTTGATGTCAATGTGCTTGAGGCGTCCAACACCAAGCCGCTCAGCAAAGGCACGGCGTGAGCTGCTGTCTGTAATGGTCCTGATCTTCACGGGCCTGCGGCTGAGGAAGTGCCACAAATCCTTCACTTGGAGCGCCTCTGCAACACCTCCGGCTGAGGCTAAGAACTCAGCCTCGCATGAACTGAGGGCTATTGACTTTTGAGATCTCGACCAACTGGTCACCAAGCAGCCATTGAGGAAAAGGAAAACCGAGCTGACGCTATGTCGCCTTCTGTTAGCGCTGCTCTTGTCTCCAGCCCAGTCAGAGTCAGAAAACACTTCCAACCAATCCTCTGTTCCTTCATCCTCCACCTGGCCCAAGATCTCCGCTTTCTTGCTGCGGTAGTTGCAATGAGGTAGCAACAGACCATAGCCTTCTGTCCTCTTGAGGTACAAAATAACATGTTTGGCCTCTGTCTCAGCTCGTTGAGTCGGCTTGGCCATGAACTGGCTGAGGTTTCGGACCGCATGTTGGATGTCGATGCGGTCCTGGCTGATGTAGAGCAAGGTACCTAGGGCTCATCTGAACCTGAACTGGTCAGCACCTTCAAGGATCTCATCTGGTGCTCCTTCCAGATTGTCTTGGCCACTTTCTGGAGTTGCTTTGCCTGACCGCTTGTCCAGCTGATATAGCTGCAAGAGGTTTGGGATGTACTTCTCATGTGGCATAATCACCACTCCAGCACTTGTGAAAAAGTGGCGCTTCTTGAGGCATCGGACTGCCTCATCTTCTGCTTGGTGATCAGTTGGCAAAATGCCAGACTCACTGATCACAAACTTCTTCTTCATCACCTCAGACAGCCATTCTAGGTGCTCCACCTTTCCAGCAATGATGAGGTCGTCCACGTGGCAAACTGCTGCAAGTTCTCGCCTCTCATGCCTAAACAATGAAGGCAGGCTCATGTGGTTCTGGAAACCCCACTCAATCAAATGAGTCGTCAAAAACTCGAACCACTTTGCTGCAGCGTCACGTTGTCCTGGAAGGCACTTTGAAAGCTTCCAGTACCTCTTCTCTCCAGGCCTTAGGTCTTGGGCTTCTTCTGGCTTCCACCACGGAGGTTGCTCCACCAGCACCAATCTGGCTGACCAAAAGAAAATGTCAGCAAACATGACCTTCCATCCCAACAGGACATGGGTCGAAAGAAGCAATCTCGTTGCACTCAATGAAGATGTGGGCGCAAAGGTCTTTGAGCTCGAAGCATCTCCACCTCTGAACTCTCTGGCCACGAAGCGACACCTCCTTTTCCAGCGCTTCTCACGGACACGCCAGTCGTATACTGACCGGGTGGTCAGGACGCTTCCCTGCTCCAACTCTTCTTCCGTGGGCTCCTCCAACACCTTCATCTTCAGCAGGCGTTCGATCTCCTCCTGACCTGCTGCCTCTTCAACACATCCTCGGTCTCCATGTAGGATTCAACTTCTTCTTCTTCCCATGCTTCATCATTCACGCGGTACACATCGTTCACATAGATCCTGCTGATGCTTCCGGCATACTGAGGAGGGCACAAGCCTACAGAGGGACTGCTGTCTGGCTGAGATCGCGCCGCTTTTGATCTGGGTTCACGAACTTCAGAATCATCCAAAACCTGTTCTTCACGACGGGGAGTGATGGGAAGCTTCACCTCAGGCGTTGTAGGCCTTCTCTGTCCAGCTTCGTCCTCATCTAGTCCAAGTGGCAAAGGAGGAACACGGAGATATTTCTCTGCTGGTGCATCTGCAAGTTCTCCTTCAGGTCCTCTCTTCTCACCTTTAGCTTCACTGGCTGGACTTTCATCTCCTCTGTGCTCCTGAGCGTAGCGCTCCACATCATCAGCATCTTTGTCCCGCACGACGTCTTGTTCTCCTCCTTGATCAACTGCGGGTGTCTCCAAGCCACTTGCCTGAGCCTTTCTTTCAGGGCCTCGAACTCCTCGTGGGACCATGGCATCAACCTCATAGGTCTTCTGACATTTGGGCTCCTGTAGGGTCTTGTCTTCACCAGAAACACGTACACTGACCTCCAAGGCTCGCTGGTCCTCCGGATTGCTTTACCTCTCAACAATCCCGTGCTTCCAATGACGAGGTGAAGATCGTCCTCATTTGTCTTGCCAACCCACACTCCAGGTAACCACTGAGGTCCTTGTTTTGCTCCTGGCTGCTTGTTGAGAACCATGACATACTCACCAAAGCAAACAACTTTGCCAATGTATCTGCGTCCAAAGGCAATCTCAAAGGGCGCAGCCTGGATCGCTCGGTGAGCTCCAAACCGATTGAGCAGCCAAGCAGCATGTAGATAGGCCCACTGCCACAAAGGATGTTCACTTGGCAAGTTCAGCTTGCACTTGTCCTGAAGCATTTCCATGAGAGTAGATGCTTGTCGTCGAAGGGTTTGGATTGCCCGTTCAACTCTTCCAGTCTGACCTTTCTTCATGCTGAACGTGATCGTTGTCTCGAGACCCAAACCATGCCTCAAGGTCTTCACGTAGGTCAGAAGGGCCTTCATGGTTGGTT